TCTTGCGAAATTGATCGTAAGTTTTAGTATCGACAGATGCTTTCATACAGTTTGCATGCCAAGCGCATATTTATACGAATTGAATTTCTCTCATTGAACTTCAATACAGTCTTGTATCGTTTAAATGTGACGCATAGCGAGTAACAAATGTGGCATAATAAGTATGGAGGGAATTAAAGGTTTTGCTCTCGGGGCTGAAATCCACTTGACTCTGAGAAAGATCGATCCTCGGGGAGCTGAATAAATAGACGGCAAGTGCAACATCACGCGGTCCTTTTAGTAAGTCATGCTTCTCATCGCGCGAACATGTCAGAGTTTATTAATAGGCATATACATTGGCACACACATATACGAATAACATATCGATCAAGATCTTCTTATAAAAGCGAATCATCTACGATTTCACGAGGTGAAGAGTTCAGCGAAAGAGACGAATAAAAGACAATGAAATACAAGCGTGCACGTGGCGCTATTTTATTTTAAATTTAAGTTTGATTGGAGTTCTAATTTCATTGGCTAAATACTGACATATCACTTGTTTATAAAAATCGCTTCTTGTTTTATTGATCTTTAAGTATCATAAACAACATTTTATTAATTAACTGATCTTTAAGTAACATAAACAACATTTTATTAATTCAACTTTGATCTCTCATCAACGCATGTAAATATTATACCTTTGAAACATTCAAAATAAAACTGTTGCATAAAATAAATATATGGCAAAAAAGATATTTTATCTTTAATATAAAGAAACATAAAATTACATCGTGCAAGAAGTTAATTTTACAAAAAATTAAAAAAGAAATTTTACTGTGATATTATAACAATAATTAATTATATAACTATAATATTATGAGATATATATAAAATAAAACTGTCTTATTTAATATAAAATTATCATTAAATCTATCTAGTCTATCATAAAAAAATGCATACTATGTTTTAATTATACGTATATTTATCAAAGATAACATTGATGTAATTTTCATGCATCTGATAAATTCGTTATTATATTATTGTACCGAATTAATAAACAAATATCAGACAGCGATTAATGAAAACTAATATATATGTGTATGTGAATAAATATTTATTGTTATATTTGGCAACAAAATATTTTCCAGTATATAAATATTGTATGTAATAAACAATTATATTAAGTAAATTTATATTATTAATTTTAACTATATTTTTAGAGAGAGTAAAATAGCTATTTATTACTGTTTTCCTAAAAAACAGGAAAACTCAACAATCTGTAATAATCGGTCGGCTTTAAGATTGCCAACGATGCATCAACGATTGAACGCATCCGAAAATATAATTTTTCCGCGATGGAAATGTTAGCGATGGAAAAATGATTTGCCATCTTGTCATCGAAGACATATTTTTGTAGAAAAAAAATATTTTATTAATAATTGGACATTCATAATACAATACAATACATTTCTGATAATGTTTAATATAAAAATATCTCAAATATTTTTGCAGTTGAGCAAAATATTATATCATAATATGAAATTTTATATTTTATATTATTAGTCTGTAATCATATTACATTTATTAAATTTATTCAACAGAAACTAAGTTCTACTATCTGAAAACAAAAGTTTGTTTTATATTTATGTTTTATATTTATTTCACTGAAATTATTCTATTTAAATTCAATTTCATTTAATTTAAATTCTATATTGAGAGAAAAGATGTGGCATTACATAAAAAGAATATAAATAACTTGACTAGGAATAAATTAATAATCTTGGCACATATACATATATAGCAAAAAAGAATGTTATTATTACAATTTTTAAAGCGTGTTTCTCTTTTTTAAATCTGCATTAATAAATTTATTTCGATAGGAAGTTATTCGTACGTAAAAATTAAACTTACATTCTGATGCGCTCTGTCCGATCGCAAATGAGTACCTATTGGATCATTATTAATATTTCCATTTAAAGTACATTTTAATTTATTTTAAAAGATAAAGTACATTTTAATTTATTTTAAAAGATAAATCACATTTTTGCATATATTTTAATATAAACGTAATTTTTAATGCATATTAAAAGCTATTACATATCAAATATGTGTAAACCATGTTTTATTTGATATGGAATATTTATATATTATTTTTTTATTTATTTTATATATTATTTATATATTATTTATATATTATTTCAGAATAAATTAAGTATTAAATTAAATGAATTTTTATATTTTTATCAATATTAACTCTCTCTCTTTTGATTAGTGCAAATGCAAATGCAATATCCGTGTTCATATGTATATTGAGCCATGTGCATGTATGTTATAATAAAATCCATAAAAGATATATAAACGGGCCAACAAAATATGTAATAAATAATCGAACTGTCCGACCATACTTTGATTGAAATTTTCCATTTAAATTGCTTCGCAAATTACGCACTTTGAAACTTTAGAACTTTGAAATTCGACGATGGAATAATTTCGAACGTGCAGCACTATATGTTAACGCTTAGATCGAGACGGTCGAACGATCGTTCCTTAAGGATCTCGTTACTTGATAGTAAACTTATATAATAGTGACAGGAAGGATGCTAAAGACGCGCAGAGATAGAAGCAAATTGAATTTCAACTTTCATCAATTTTAGATTAGGAGGCAATATTTATCGGAAAAATAGGTGTGAATAATTTTCCCGTTCGAGAATACATTTTCCTTGTGATAAATTTTTCCTTGTGATAAATTATTTATATGCAGTAAGATTAAATTCTTCTCCAATTGCTCTTTTTATTTTCTAAAATATAAATAAAAAACTCTTTCTCTAAAATATAAACAAAAAACAATGCATCATTGATGATAACTAATTGTAATTATTGAAATGATATCATGATAATTTTCATTAATCTGCACACGACAGGAACCGAAGTAGCTTTAAAAAAAGAAGAGTGAATATTCTGTTTTTATATATAAGATGGAATATGAAATAGCGAGATAATATCCGCGAGATAAAATAGCTAAGTTGTGCCATTTGCTAGATCTTATTAATAAATGCTCTTATTTTGTAGTTAAATATGAAAATTTTTCTCTTTGCATTTTTTAATTTCTTAAAAATTATAAGACGCGTTATACTATAAACCTATTTTGAGCCATTCACATTTATTCTCTATTCTTGAAAAATAATCATCAGTAGTAATTAAGCTTAGTCTAAAAAATCAATGTACACACACAAAGAGTAAGCGACCCTTTTATTATATGTATTAAAGCAATTTTCCTTCTCTTTTTAGTAACTGTCTGAAAAAGATTTCTGACTATATTTTATATAGATATAATAAATTATATAATAAATATAATAAATAGATATTTTATGTAAATATAAAAAAAAGATTTTTTTGGTTAATTATTTACAATATATTTTAAAAAATCTATAAATTAGCAAGAAATCTTTATAAAATATTATTTATTTGAAAAAATGAAATTTCAGTCTAGTCCATTTTACTTCGTAGAGTGATCCATTTTATTTCGCAAGTGGTATGGAAGTAAAACGAATCAAAATCAAGTTTCGTAAAAAGTTCAATAAAATTAAATTTTTATATATTTTCAAAAAATCGATATTCTAATCGTATAATCAATATTTTAAAGTGCTATATCTATATCTTCATGTAAAAGAATCATTTTTGTAATTAATGCAGGAAATATGGCCATTTGATTTGAAAAATCCTTTGCTTTACGTATAATTATTAAAACATAATTTCTCAATTACATAATTATATAATTTATTACAATTATATAATTTTTTAATTAGTACTAGGAGGGGGAGGTATAAGCTTCATATATTATTATTCCTTCTTTCCTGTGTTATAAATTTATATTTTTCAATAGTAAAGTATTACTTTTTTTTATTGTTCGTATAAACAATTGAAAAATAATGAATTCAACAAGCACGTATAAAGGTAGCAATAATTAATATTTTCGTTAACGACAAGATTGATTTTATCTTTTTCAATAAATTAGAAGTAAGAAAACGGAAAAAGATAAGTCATAAATTGTGGAAACATACAACTGCGTGATATTGCATTTCTCTCTATATCCTACCTTCCTCTCTATGTCTCATCTTCCTCTCTCTCTCTCTCTCTCTCTTTCTCTATTTACACGACAATATCTATAAGCAACCTGAATAAGCAAAATCAAAGCCCTTTAGTGATGCACTACGTATGCATCTAGCTAGTTGAATCTGTACTATTATACATACCATGTGCTATGCACATAAACAGGGTATACGTGCATAAACAGTATACGTGCATAGTACAAGGCAAACTTAAAGGAAAGCATTTTAGATCCTTTTATACATTGATTTCTTTGATGAAATTTGAAATTTATTTTATTTGAATACACATTATACAAAAGCTTCTTCTGTAATGAACTGTAAATAGATTAATTTCTTATTTGTGATATTTATATTTTTGAACGAATTATTAAATATAATAATCTATTTTTTTAAAGATTAATTTTATTTATAATAAAATAAAATAAATTATATTGAAAGTTTTTAAATAATCTTCCTAGATATCTGATAAAATACAAAAAATATATTGCTCACAGAACTTGTATTAAAATAGCAATATAATCTGATCTTATAATATTTTGATCTTATAAGATCAAGAAGATATTCTGATCTTATAAGATTTTATAATATTTTTAATTATCCTTGACATTTTATTACCCGATTATTACAAATACGATTATATTTGAAATAGAAATATATTGCATTATTTTAAAGATAGAAAAGATATAAATTAGATGTATAATGGCAATATAAAATTTGTAAAAAATCTTTTACATTATCAGCTTGTTTTTTTAATCAAATTTTGTAAATAATACAATATAGTTTTTTCTTATTTTCACATTATTATCGTACAATATAGGTTTCTTCTTATTATTTTTATATTATTATCATTCTGATTTTGTCCATTTCATATCAAATGTTGATAAATTAATAATTATAAAAATATTCTTACAGATAATGGTGATAGCAAGCAACGTTTCTAATATAAGCATAAGTTCCGAAGCAAACGATTACGTACCATATGACCAACGACCCGAAACTTACATCGTACCCGTAGTGTTTTCGTTAATTCTGGTCGTGGGTGTAGCGGGAAATGGTATCTTGGTTCTTATTTTATTATGTCATGCTAATATGAGAAATGTACCAAACACTTACGTATTATCTTTAGCTCTGGGCGATCTGTTGGTGAGTATTTTTCTATTAAGGGTTTTCCTTGCTTATCGATATTCTTTTTACAAGTAAATCTTTTAAAGTGAATAATTCTTTATTTAATAAAGAAAAGAATAAAATAACTTTTCCTTCAGGAAGATAAGAGAACAATCAAAATGTTTCTTTCTGTAAGAATAAATTTCTATAAAAAATATATTTGGGCACTCTACAATTAGAGAGAAAATATATTAGAATGTGCTTTCTTGTATAAAAATGTATAATCTATAAATAATTTTTAATTATAACTGATTTAAGAAAAATCAAGATACAAAAAAAATTTATGACAATATTTCTTGGTTATATATATTCTTATAATTTTTTTCTCTTATGTCTAAATAATTTATCATATATATGTACATATCTTTTATATGATACTACCTAGCTACATGTGCTAAATCTAAATCAACCAATTCTTTGTTACAGGTGATTGTGACTTGCGTACCTTTTACGTCTATTCTTTATACGATCGAATCGTGGCCATGGGGCTTAACTATCTGTAAACTATCTGAATGCGCTAAGGATATTTCAATCGGTGTGTCAGTATTTACTCTAGCAGCTTTGTCAGCCGAAAGGTAAACATCTTATTGTGTCATGCAGGTTAAATCAAGAAGTTAGACATAGTTGATGGAATAGCACTACGAATTACGAATATCCGCAACTTGATTTAACTCATTTAATTCGGACGATTAAATGAAATTTTAATATAATATATTTCAGAGTAAAATATATAACTTTTGAAACTAACTAACTCTGACCATTTAATTTATATTAATAAATGGAGAGAATATAATAATAGAGAATAACATAATCAGAGAGAGAGAGAGACTGATTTATATATAAAATAAAATTCATATAAAATTGTGTTTTAAATTAACAATTCTTAATTTTTGATGAAGTTACAATATATTTTATCAAAATAATTTTAGTTATATTTTCTCGATATTTTTTCCTAATTTTATAATTTTATATCGATCTTAATTCGACATTAATTAAATAAGAACGACAATGCGCAACAATCTGACATATACTTAATGTACATGCCAAAGTTAATTAATTGTTTATATCTTGAGTAATTTATTCCGAAAGTTTGTATCGTTTGTAAGATATAATGTACTCTCGCATCTTCTCACGATTCTCTCTCCGCAGATATTGCGCCATAGTGAATCCCATCCGTCGCCACGTAGCAGGTTTAAGCGCAAAACCATTAACCATTTTAACGGCATCCCTTATCTGGGTCCTAGCGATTATCTTAGCTATACCTGCTGCGCTCTTCTCCCATGTCCCGGCCATACAATTGCAAGGAAACCACAGCATTTTAATCTGTGATCCTTTTCCCGATGAATTTGGTAAGATATAATATGCCCATCTTGAAAGTAATCACGAATGTCGCTAACTATAATTATAAATGCGTAAAATTTACATTTTAAATCATAAATCATAAATCATTTTTATATGATAATTATTAGATTATAATGATAGTTATTTTATTTAAAAAAAATATCCCCAATATTTTAAATATTGTGGAAAAATTGTTTTCTCTATCATTTACTAATTTCAAATTGTTAACTAATAATTTTTGTATTTTTTATTATTTTGGACATTAAATAATAACTATTTGAAATCTCAGTTCATATCAAATTATTGTTAATAAGCGAGAAAACATATGTATGTCTCAAGATATGACATAAGATAAGACATACGCAACTATAAGCACGCGTTACGTATTATTTATGTTACACAGGTGAAATCTATGAAAAAGGCATGGTAATGTTCAAATTTTTGGCGTATTACGCGATACCGCTATGCGTGATAGCCGGTTTTTATCTGGGCATGGCACGACATCTAACATTGTCCACCAGAAATATGCCAGGTGAACTCCCCGATCATCGCTTTGAACAGATAAGGGCGCGCAGGAGGGTACATGAAAATATAATTTCTTACAACACACAAGCGTTAAGAATATGCTTTGCACGATTAAACAATATTTAAAATTTCATTTATTAAAACATCATTATATTGATGATCTTGTTTTCTTTACTGCAATGACAGGTGGGTAGAATGGTGATGTGTTTCATAATCGTTTTCGTGATTTGTTTTCTACCATATCACGTGTTTATGCTGTGGTTTCACTTCTCCCCTACATCACGGGATGATTATGATGATTTCTGGCATGCCTTCAGGATAATCGGTTTCTGCCTCAGTTTCAGCAACAGCTGCGTTAATCCCATAGCACTATATTTAATTAGTCGAACATTTCGTCAAAGGTAAGCGCGCGTGTAATCCTCGTATGTTGTTTCGTGATCATCACTAGGGATACTCATCAAAGTTATAACCAAGTACTATTAAATTTTAACTTATTCCATAATTATTAATAAATATATAATTTTCAGATTGTTTATATGTGACAAGTTATAAAAATATTGAGAAAATGACAAGTTATAAAAATATTGAGAATAAATTGTATATGTCAAAGTTCTTAGCAAGCAAAATTCTTGCTGCTTACAATTCCAAAATAATCTCGTTAGCCAAGCTTATTTATATTAACAAAAAATATAGTAATCAGCTTTTCATCATTATATGACTTTAAAATCGTTGAAAGAGCGTATGCAAATTCTCTGTGGATTTTTCTGCGGGAAAACCGCTGTATCGTTTGTACATTTTTTCTGTTAACAAATAGCTTTGCTCAAGCTGCTTGTAAAATATCATTTTATATTTCAACGTATGAAAGTATTGTCAGATTTTTTAATTGCCATAATATTTGATAACATTAGTTGAACAAGATCTGTACTTGACAAACTGAACATATCGAGAAAATCCATTATTTAGAAATGTGTTTAACATCCTTGCTATTTTCTGTTTGATGTAGATTTAATAAATATTTGTGCTTCTGTCTACCGGGTGGCTCCGCCATCTGCGGTAGAAGTCGATTGGAAAGAAGCAGAATTCACGGCAATGGTGGCTTTTCTCAAAAAAGTCGAGGTGATATGCGGAACACGTTTCATGAGACTAGTTTTGGTTCTACGTTTCGAAGACGTACGCAAGAGTTTAACTCGACCGGGGTATTCGAGATGGGCAGCATAGAGACTAGACCTACCCCCAACGATCGAAAGTTACTTTCGTAAGTAATCTCCTAATATTAAAGGACACGGGTGCTAATGCAAATTGCATTGTAAGTGTAGTTACTGTTAATAATAATGGACTAAAACAGGCACGGCTTCCTCAAAATGGTTGCCTATTACACTGCAGGCTTTATATGATAAAAAAGATATAATGATGGATCTCGAAGACTATTAATATTTCGACAATGGTTCTGAAAATCATGGTCGCCTGCTTGTGTCGCTTTCATTTAAAAAAAAATCGATTTGGAATCATACGTATGTAATTTTTCCTACATAGCTATGTATCTTTTCAATTCTTTTCAAATAATTATGTATGATATATTTGTGAATTCAAAATGCAATCCTCTTTTCCGAAGGAAGACTCCTTCCAAAGTCAACTTTAAAATAGTTTACTTTATTTTTGAGGATTGATGATGTACTAAATAGTTGAAAGAATAATGACTTATATAGACTGTAAGACTCATTAAATTTGCACTTCTTATTTTTGCAAAATTAATTGTTATTTATCCGAAATTAAAGGAAAACTTGCTTTTTAAAAAAATTTTCTTTCTTTAATAATTGCGCAAAAATAAATATCATATATAAAAGAGTTTATTTTTTCTACTATTAAAATATAAAATATAAATCAGTACTTATCTAATGTCTATATGTGTGCAATGCGTATTTCTTGCTCAATCTAGTCATTATTAATTAGCAATTCTTGTCTTTCATGTGTTTCTTGTATATTTGTTAAAATTAAAAATAACGAAAGCTGACCTTGTTTATTATTGCATATGCATAAATAAACGATTAGCCACAGATAAAGACAAAACAGTAAAAAATACAACGAGATATGATATCTATTTTCTTTGTTATTTTTTTTCAATTAAAATATCTGATTTTTTCGAATTAAATTCGATCTTATTCTGTATAAAAGTATAAGCAAAAAAACGTAAAATATGAAATAAAACAGAACTCATTTCAAATCTTGATGCCTTATTTAACTGTAAATAATTTTAATATTATATTGTGTTTTTTAATTGTACACACATATATATATATATATATATATATATATATATATAAATTATATTTATCTCTTTCTAAATATTCAATAAAAAAGAATTCTTCATCTATCGCATGAAAATGTGTAATATAACATATTAATTATATATGGATTATATGAGAATATATACAATTTGTTGATTGTTGATATTCTCATATAATCATATATAATTAATATGTTATAATTAATATATTGATTGATCCATTAGTTAGTACAATTCTATTTAGCAAATTCTTCCAAGTAAGATTATTTATATCTAAATTAGATTTATAGGACATACGTTTCATTTACTAATACATTAATATTTTAAAAGCAAATAATAAAAAACCTCATCAATCAATGTTTGCACTGGATAATAAATATTCTGTATCACTATATACGGAATATCTCAAAACTTAGAAATAGTTATAATTTTTACTTAAGTAAAATTCGATTCTCGAGATTCATTTAAAGAACTAAGGTTTCGGGATACTGTGTACGTCACTTATACGTTGTACATTTCATAAAAAAGCCTAATTTTAAGATATTTTGTACATTTTCCTCATATGTTTTATGTCACTGAATTTTAATAATACTTTAATAAAGATAGCTATATCTATATATATAATAATTTAACATATAAACAATATTGTCTCCTTGTTTTGTGTAAATAAAAATTTTATTGTTAGAATATACATGAACACAAAATTATTCGTCAAACGTCATTTTCCAAGTCGAATAAAAATAATCGATGCGAAACTCTTCGCTCGCACGTGCCACTCGCTCATTCTTTTCAATAGGGCACGCGCGTAGGGGGTAAAGCGTGGAAAAAGAGAGGGGGCTTACATCTGCCGTTCTTTCGGACCCTTACAACGGTTGAACAGCGGATAGAAGGGTACCATGAAGGGTACCATGATAGAAATGGACGAACTCCCTCGCGTGTAGACTTCCCCCTCCTTTATGTCTCGACAACGGTTGTGAAAGTGAGGGGGTTGATAGACCATCAACGTTGGTCAACGGTCATTTTCATTGACAGTTCTCTTCGCGTCGTGCAACATACAGGAGAGTGCATAAGAAAGTGCAGTGTATCTCGCGAAACTAAAGAAAAGCGTTTTTTTTTTTTATGAGAAGGATTTTAGCGAAGAAACTGCGCGCGAAAGGAGTCATTAATACACCTGCACGAAACAGAAAATCTTTCGAAACACACTGTCAGCAGCGTCTTATAACGAAGCATCGTGCAACGGACAACCGATCCGGAGTTAAGGAACAAACTTCACAAACACACGTTTCTACACGGAGGCGTGTAAGTAGCACTATATCATTACTTTTAGACGACGCTGTAAGACGATCATCCGCACAGATGCAACTTTATAGCTCCTATTTCGTTGAATCTATCTATTCACACTTCACCATCAATTTTCTCGCGCGAGAATTACGATGCTATTTATAGTCGCATTAACAGTGTGCTATTACAAAAAATTTAATAAAAAATAAATTGTATTATGTTTATCTTCCCCCTTTAGAGGAGAAAGACAAATATTCTAAGAGAATATTTTGAAATAATATAAAATTCTCAGAAAGACGTAATAGATATCGAAGTTGAAACAGAACCAATTAACTTAATTGGATTTTAGTACGTTAAAACAATTACATTGAAACATAACAGATGTTATACGAAGGCGTACAATGGATACTGTTATCTCTAATAATGGTTTGTAATATATCGTCATAGCGTACCATATTACTATTATTATTAAAGATAGTCAAGACATATAAATGATATCATATAAAATCGCGAGAAAAATAAACAGTTAGATTTTCCTCTTTTTATTGTAGACATAATAAAACAAATTTTACTAAAATAATACTGCGACTTTTTCAGCAAAAATTTATTTGTCGCGATTATCCAAGAATGCGATTTTTCGAAGATATAAAAAATTTTTATATTTGCTGAATTGCAGGTAAACAATTGCTGAATCAGATCATAATGAAGAGATGTTCATCGGTAAGATACTTATAATAACAATAAATATGATTTTATCAAATAATATAAAGATGTTGATTATAGTATTGAAAATGTATATATTTAGAATAAAATATTAGACCCTCTTTTAGAGGATGTATATATAAACGCTTTTTTAATATTATAAGACAGAGAATTATTATAAAAATGGAGAAAATTATAATATTTAAAAATATACAACTATATATATTTTTGAAAATATACAATTTCTATTAAAAATTTTTAATATTTTATTCAATGTGTACAGGCACCTAATTTAGAAGACGTTGGCGGTGATGCTAAAAGAACGAAAGGAATTACGCAATGTACGGTAAGTTAAACTTATTAACTATCTTATTGAAACATTCATGTAAAATAATTGTCAATAAAACGTAATAGCAAACATACAAATCACAATTTGAATTAAAAGTTATATGCAGTAAAAAGTTTTTCTAACAAAGTTGTTTATCTGTTAACATTTATCGAAATGTTTAATAAAGTTCAACAATGCTTGTAATCACTCTTGTCCGTAATTATTACAATTGATTCTACTTAAAAAGCGGTATAACATCGCAGTTTAACTGAGAGTTGCTCGATTGTATTATAAAGCGAAAATTTATTATTTAGTTTCAAGTTCTCTTGTGCAAATTTGCGAAGACAATTCAGAAAACAATTCACTAGAAGCAAATATAACCCAAGTTTGCCTCTCGAACCAGACTTTTGCGGTTAACGTGGTAAAAACTTTTTCTATATCACAATTTCTTTATTCTATATATGCAGGGTATCCCAGACCACCCGTACACCTCTTTTAAAATGAAAATAAATGGGTTTTATCAAAAATCGCGAACAATTTTAAGTAAATCGGATACGCTCTATCAAATGGTGATATTTTCAACTTTTGTTTCCGACCGGAAATACGCCATCCGGAAGTTGAATTTTTTTTAGGGGAATATGGTACTTTTTATTACAAATTCGAATTGTACGTGAAAAAATAAAAAACTTTTGTATTAAATGTTTTTTTCTGAAAGTGCCTCTGTCAATCTTAAAATTGATCTTGAAAGTAACTGTGATAAAATAACAGAGGCACTTTCAGAAAAAAACATTTGATATAAAAGTTTCTTATTTTTTCATGTACAATTCGAATCTGTAATAAAAAGTACCATGTTCTCCTTAAAAAAATTCAATTTCCGATCCGGATGGCGTATTTCCGGTCGGAATAAAAAATTGAAAATATCTCCATTTGATAGAGCGTACCCAATTTACTTAAAAATTGTTTGCGATTTGTGATAAAAGCCATTTATTTTCATTTTAAAAGGGGTATACGGATGGTTTGGAACACCCTGTATATATATATGTGTATATATATATATATATATATATATATATATATATATGTTACACATCCGATATATTCGAAATTTTATAAAATCTTGACTTAAATCCTTATCCTACAATGAAAGGTTTATCATTTTAGATTTAATTGATTAAAAACAAGTATTTTAAAATATTTTAAATATATGTAAAAAATTACAATGCAATTGCATTTGATCGTTTACTTTTTATCGTACTGATTGTTGTTACAAATTTAGCTACACAAATGGTTCGATTGTAATCATATCAGATCAAATATACACTAACAAACACAAATATGCACACTAGCTTTTAGATTTTTACATGAAATGAATAAAAAATTTTTTATATTTTAAACAATTTTGTTAAAAACGTTTATTGATGGAAACATAGAGTTTATATCTATATCATTTTATAAATTATTGAGTTATATAATTTATTATTATATTTTATAATTTGTTATAATTTGGTATAATTGTTGAAATTGTTGGAAACAATAAAAAGAATCATATCTAATAAATAATTACTAATAATAATACGTACGGCTTGTAATATCTATCATTTTGATAGTGAAATAATGTATATCGTAAAAAATTTATTTAACGTCACTTTATTGATTAAATTTCGCTGTAACATTCGTTTGCGAGTACACGTCTCATCTTTCTACAGAATCCAGATACAAAGGAATACCTTCAATTGGCTTTAGCTAGAGTCCTAGAATTACAACGAAAGATCAATGAAGGTACATACGTTAGAGAAACCGATAATGGTGGCAGTGATTTAGGTAACGTAAAATTTTTCTAATACTTTATTTATGTTTTTCTGGACATTAGATGCCTTATATATGTTTAACATTACTAGCAAAAATTTTGACAATATCCTTAAGAAAAAAGTTTCAATCACTAACTTCTCCATAAGATTTTAAACTTCCCATAAAGTTTGTTATTATTTTTGGTCTTTTGGTCAACAGTAGAGCAAATTTAGTTGTTTTTATCGAATAAAATAATGACTTTATAAAAGAGACGAGACTTTTTTCGGTTATTTATTTCTGTATTATTATATTCTGTATTATTTTATTAATATAAGTAATTAAAAGGTCACGAGACTTATCAATTGCTATAAATATTTTGAAAGATTTTGTGCGAAATCAAATTTCGCATAATATAACGATCATATGAAACGACATCAAATTTATACGCGGTTAGGCGAAAATTGATCCTTGCAATATATCTCGCATGCGTGATTCTCAATGCAATACGATGCCAATGCTGTGTCATTTGTGTGATATGTGGGGTGGAATAAGTTTCTTTATCGTCTAAGGAAATGCTAAATTTTTGCAGATGTAGTAAATTAATCTATCTTAGGAGTAAATTTTTTTATAAACAGCAATTATCAATTTAAAAAACAATTAAATTTTTGGATTGCAAAATTCACGCTACAAATATTATATTGTAGAAAAACATTTTATACCGTTGATTAATAATTTTTTTTCTATTTACAAAGATAGATAAGATTTATAATTTTTCTATTTGCAAAGATAGACAAGATTTATAATCGGCGATCGTTGAATTAATCACGGTTGAAATATTATTTATTTACTTATATCATCACTATTTTACAGAAGCATCAGACGGCGAAGAAGATTTAATGAAGGAAATTTTTGCGAAAGTATTTCAAGATCTACCCGGAACGCCTAGCTATATTACTAAAATAATAGACAGAGGAACGCATTGGAGAAATCCTCGTATGGATGCAATACATAGTAAAAGAATACAATTGTTAGGTTTTGATACTTGTCGGAAAATGGCCCTTGAATTCATGAAAACAATTGTGCGAGAATCGCGAAACAGATCTCCCTCATTAGATACAATCAAATCCGATGATTTGACGTTCCAACAAAACGAATCATTGTCAAGAGATGAGATCCTGGAGAGCGATTTGCGTAAACGAGAGTCGAACGCGGAAACTCGAGCGAGAATGTTGAGAAGTCTGGATTTGCATTTAGCCGCTAAACAAAGAGATTATACGGCTAAGTTAATGAATTCGGATATATAGTAGTTGTATGAGTAGTTCTTGAGCAGAGATGAATCGAAAGTGGCAAATCTCTAAATTATTATCTATTGTGCATAATACATCATATGTTCGATATTAACGCAATGAAAACTTAAAGCATATATTTTATATATTTAAAGAGAATATCTTCTCTTTTAGAATATCTTCTGTTCATATCATTTTTATGCATAATTGTCTTGACAGATAAGCATGTATATTTTTGAAAAACCTCCTTAGAGATATCGCCACATTATGTATGTATAAGATTAGACATATAGAAACTTTAAATCAATGCTTCATTTATTTTGATAATTTTAGCTCTTACAGTATTTATGAAAACTTATCTAGTCATACATAATACTAGTCCACAGCTTGCATAATATTTGTAATATTATTTTAAATATCTTATATATATAAACATATTCGTATCGTATGTTCTAAAATTGTGGATATTTTTTTAGTAACAGATTTTTTTATCAATTTGAGGACAATTTTTCCTCAGTTAAACTTCCTTTTTCTCTCTCTATCTATCTATCTCTCTCTCTCTCCCTCTGCTCCCTCTCTCTTTCTTTCTCTTTTTACCGAGACATCAATAATTTCCGAATTATAAGCGATTGAAAAGCTTTTCACAAACTAAACTGTGGAATTGGAAGATTAATGAAATTCTTATACGCTTTACTTAATTTTAAGCGGAATTAATTTTAATAGAATTTTAATTTAAGGCTTAGTTATATACAACAAAAATATGGTGATAAGAAAATAGAGATTTGCAAAATTTTCCATTAATATCTCAATATTTTTGTTGAAAAAAGATTGTCTTCAAATTGATCAGAGAATCTAATTATTAAAAGGTCTAATGATTTTGGAACCCTTTCCTACATGGGACATTAAAATTATTATGACTTATATTAATGTTATTATTTGCAGAAAAAAATGGATTAAGATAAAGTTGCACAATTTTAAGAGAGGCTTAAAATGGATGAAATAAAATCTCTTAGATGAAAACGTCTTGGAGATTTAAAAATGATTTTAATTTTTAAATGAAATATTTAAAAATTAATATTTTTTTATAGTAGGATTAATATATATATATATATATATATATCTTTTTTTTAATACAATTATCAGAAATTGTTATAATTAGGCTCGGAGTTTGCAATTATTTGCAAAAAAACAAAATAAAAAAAAATTATCACTCTCTTATTAATGTTAGCTTATTTTATATTCAATGTAATAAGGATCGAGGATATTGTAAAATAATTGAAAACTAATTTTTTTTCATTCTCCTTTAAGAATGTTTAATGTCTGTTAGACAAATTGTTCGAATATATTCTATGATTCTTTCAAATTAAAAAGAGATATATAGATATATTATAATGCTATAAAAAACATATTTTTATTTACAAGACATTTTACTTAATTTTACAAATCTCCGAAACATCACAGATTAAAAAGATTTTGTTTCATTCATTTTAAAACCAGTTGCAGTTTATTAATTCGTTCTTCTCTATAATAATATAGACATAAAAGAAATGACAATTTCAAAAAAGTGTTATATATATTATAATTTCAAAGAAGATATATTTTAACTTTATAAATTTTAATATTTTTAAATCTATAATTATATTTTTAAATCTATAAACAATTATATATCAAACAAATTAATGTAATGCTACCATAATTTTAATAAACAAATCTATAAATTAAAAAAGTGATAAAAATTTAAAAAATATGTTTGTATCAAAAATTAGGAGATTTACAGATTATCTGTAATGTCCTGTTAACATCTGTTTTAAAATATCTGATTGATTACTGAACAAACAAGTTGCGAAAAGAACAAATAAATTGAAATGTGGACGGAGAAATACACATGCATATGATTATACACACGCGCGCACATATATATGTATATACATATATATTAAAAATACACCAAAAGAACAATTATATTATAGCAAGAGATTATTAATAATTGCACATATTATTATTTTATTATATGTTTATGTTTCTTTTTTTGTTTTGTGTTTATTATCCTTTTATTAATTTCATCATGTTTATTATGTTTATGAAATTAAACAAATAAAATACTATTTAAAAAATGAGTACATACTAAACAAACGTAAATTATAATATCGTGATACATTGCTTATGAGTAAAGTTACTCGCGATGTATTGCTTTCGGACAACACAAAAAATCTAGAAAATGTGTGCAAACATGATTTTATAATTAATAGAATGTGCAATAAAAATATTTAAAAATTGAAAAGAAAGATTGTAAGTTTTTATCAACAGATCTATAGAATATATCTATTGGTTTATAACAGAACTATGAAGATTAACGATACAGTTACATATACTTACTTTTTTAATAAATTTGTTTGATAAATGCGAGGAACAAGATTGTTTTATAAAAAAAAAGTTTATTCACAGAGTGTACAAATAAAAAACTTAAAACTTCCAAACTATCAATAATATGTCTTAACAGTAAAATGTGTACATATTACAAATTATAATTTATTTTTCGTGACTTTCGAATATACAAAGTCACAAAATGTTCATCAATCGAAATATCGAAAAATCGACTAGATCGACTTTTTATTTTCGAAAGGAAGACATAGTTCATATCAATTGTAATTTCTCTAAAGTGTAAGTCAAAATTATCGAACTAATTCTCGGAATCGCGAATCACTCTCTTTCAGATTTCATAGTTTAGAGTTGCGTTGAATCTTGGAGAACCTCGCGTTCGTGTCTAATAAAATATTATGCGCGTTTATGCAATAAACTATTCTATAGCGAAGAGTAAAACACAATAAAATATCGTTAAATCAATGATTTATAAGGATTGATTTATCTACGATATTCCACAAAATCTTATTTGTTTATCCAGAATATCTTAGTTATACAGAAATCATAACAAACTCGTGCACACACAATACACACAAAATGTGTCCTATACATAATCTTTAAATTCTATTTCATCAATTTTAACACAAATATACTTGACTTGCTTATATCAAAATGCACATATCATTTAAATGTCCATATTATATTGCATCTATGCTAAAAATACACATTCTAACAAGTTTAAGACGATATATTGAATTAAACAAGCCTAATTGACTAATATGTGCGATGGAAAAATTCTTTTATATAAAATAGTTTAGTAAAGATAAAATTATTAGTACTTGCCAATGTTTATCAATTGTTAGATAAAATCATTTCATGCAATAATTGCGATAAACAATACTTAGTTTATAAAAATTATTTATCGAGACCCCCTTTTTTATTAGGTTTTAATCATTAATAAATTAGAAGCAATAAAGCTTCTACCTATGATAACAATAATAAGCTATTTCAATATGTATTAATAATATTCCTTCTCAATCAAGTGTTTCTCCGCAAATAGTTGTAACTTATCTATTCAAAATAATATAATATAATTTTATGGATTACAAATAATTACGGATATATTGCATTGCTCTTTAAAATAAAAAACAAATTAATCGCTAAGGAAGTAGCTACAATTACATCTAATATATCTATCCTTTATAAAAATATAAGATCTTAAAGTATGTAGAGAAAAATTTTCTGCTTCCAATTATCTTTAAGGCCGGATAATTAATGTACGCATGTTTCAAAATCAAATGTTGATCAAATGTGATAATTTGCATATATCTAAACATTTCCGTAATTTCTTTCAAACTTTTCAACAATTGTAATTCGATGACACTTGAATAATAAATATGATAAAGAGAGAGATCATATATTTGATTTAAAAAAATCACAGCATCGAAGAAAAGTTTTGCAAGAGATTTGAGGAGGAAATTTAAGAAAACTTGAAAGAGAAAACAAAAAGAAATTCTGAAATATGAAAAACAAATGATTAATATTTGCATAGCGACTTTGTTATTATTCGCTTTTAATACGCTATTATTATCACAAACAGTTTTCAACATCAAATTTCCTCGTCCATTCTATATACAAATCTGTAGGTATTTTTAGCACGTCAAGTAATGTATGAATCAGCACACTATAACCGAACAACCCTGTAAATTGACAAAACTGTTTCGCGATACGTAGAGGGCTCCGAGCCATGGGCTTCCCAATTGTTACCCATTAAAAAGGCGTAATATCATTGTATCATAGTATCGTAGACCTATCGTCGAAGTGTTCGAGACATTCGCAAAACTTCGTCGACGATCAGTGTCAAAAGTATCCATATTCAAAAATCCATACATTTTCCATTGCATAAAAGAATTCTCGAAATCAGAGGAACAAACAATTCTTACTCTTTCCGCACACAGTGATTACAATCGAAATTAAATCACTGCTTCTATCTCGAAAAGTAAGAAAAAATAAAATTGGCTCATTTTAGTTGCCGCTATGAGAATTATTAATGGAGATAGTTAATTTTTTTATAATAATAGTAAACATTCAGAATAAACAGATAAATAATTTCGATACTACCGCATGTGTACAGCCAATTATTGTATAAGCCATTTGTTTAAAACGTGGCGTAAATCGATCTTTCAACATCTCATTAATCCTTTATTTATATCAATTGACAACGAGCAATATTATCTTATATTTGATATTTTTGATCCACACATTGATCGTGTAATATTTTGATATCATGTTTTTATATGAAATTATATATTGATATCATTATATCATAGTAAAGTTCTTCAACTCATGGTTTAAAACTCGATTTATGCCGCTTTCCAAACGGGCGAATTGATTTTTTTTAATGCTGTTGCACAAGAGTAGGCCCGTTGCCGGGGTTTCTCCAAGGATCCGGCATATCAAAATGATCGGGAACCGTGATCAGTGCGTCGGCAGCGGTGCGATCGCCGCTGCAATTTTGGGGTTTGACGCGAGTCGTGTTGACACACTCGATTGGCAGCTTGAAGAATTCGAGCTTGTAATTGTAACCCTGGCTAGAGATGCGGATTATCGTGTGTAGCGGCACCTCCATGTAGGGCAGTTCTTCAGGTTTCTTGTCGAGGAAAAATCCGATGATGCAGCGCAATACTGCTTGATGCGATACTACGAGGATGTTATTGGAACGCTGCAACTCGGCCATCACCGGCTCAACACGTTGCATTGCATCAATGTAACTCTCGCCCCACGGATAACGATAACGTAGCTTGTCTTGATCACGCCAAGCAAATTCCTATCGTAAAAATACGTGAGAAATTTAAGCATTGTCACGTATTACGTATCTAATATCTCCAGCTGTTTGACAAGAATTAATGTCGTTGCATTCAACAACGTTACATAACTCAGATATTTTTAAACTGGCGATCAATATTTTGCTTCGAGCGATTATTTGGATTTATTGAGTGATCCCGATAAGTATAATTACCTGTGGATAATGCTCTTGCATTTCCTCGTAAGAAAGACCCTCGCACACTCCCGCATGAAGTTCATTCAACGCCGCTACGTGTTCCTGGGGGGCCTCGATACCACGTGCCGTTGCTATTGTTCTGCGGAGGCGACTGGTGAGAATTCGCAGATCAGGAATACGCATGGCATTAAACTTGGTTGATAAAGCTTGAGCGTAACGCTCGCCTCTGGCACTTAAAACCGCATCACCGCCGACTTTACCGAGCACATTGTACTCGCTTTCACCGTGCTACATATAATAAAATATAAAGATATGAAAAAATGTCAAACATACAACTATTTATAAGAGAGTAAGCAATACTGAAAATTTACAAACAAATCTGAGAATAGGAAGAATATTATATATCGTTTTTAATGCAGTTCATTTGTGTCATAATGCAAAATAATGTTAATTGCTCACCCGTGAGAAATAAAGTGTGTGAGGTTTAAGGCTGACGTCTCCGAGATATCCAAGCACACTGGTTTCAATGTGACCGGATACCTTGCAGGTCTCGATGTCCATAGTAGCGGTGTCGATTCTGATTTTGGGATAGATTTTGTCGTCCATCGGCTCATACGATCGGGTATAAAAAGCGATTTTCGAGCGCAGATCTTCCGCGGCCAGAGCAACGTCCACGCCTGCATAATCGGCGCTATGTTTCACGATCTCTTGTTGATTGTGCTCCAGAACTTCCGGATCATCGCAGACGCATTCGACGAACAGAACGCGATAACCAAGCTGACCAGAAAAGTAATCGTGAACCTCCGTACGCTGCGCTCGCGTAATCAGCATAGCGTCCAGGAGCTTGAAATAGGGAAAGCTCTAGATAATAACGATGCGATATCATAGCTTCTGAAACAACTCTGATTTCGCGCGATTAATCATCATGCAATTTTTTCACGATACTATTGACAAGTAGAGTCGAAATCTTAATGGAAAGGCAGAGTCATTAGACGAGAATAATGTTGCGGCCTCTTTACGAACATGTAAAGAGAACTGTCATAAACACGTTGCGTGAATGCTTACCGCTACAGTATTTCCTGATGCAAGCCACGATGCGCAATCCAGCATGGCATCTCTTTGTGCGAGAGCCATTAACGCATTGTTTGCCGCATTATCTGATCGCAGGAGTTCATGTGATATATGAGGTTCGAATCGTTTTCTTCGATAATCACTCACACGAAATACTGGAACAAGATTTATAATGCATTATAATTCAGGAAACACTTTTCTGATGCGTGTATTTAATTAAGAATAAAAATCAAATATAATATAAATGATCGCAATAAATCTCTGTGTAGAATTATGTAACAAATGTATAGATAAGGCAGTATTTGTCTAAAGATATATTATTAAATATGCATTACGTACCTTTTGTAGTTACACCATTCCAATTAAGCCTGCGAGCAAGACTTTGGCCGATTTGGCTTTTCCCACGAGCCGGTAAACCACAAATGGCTATAACAACCCCCACAAATTTGCGCGATGACTTCGCCACTGCCGGCATTCTTGCTGCGACCTTTTCCTTGCCGGGATCTAAGTAGAAAATAGACAAATTTGACAAAGTTATATATTTATTGATTATGCAATTTGTGCAGATGCTGAATTTAGCATATTAACGATCAAACACTATTTTGCGTGGCTAGATATATATTACAATATTAAAGAATTTATTATATAAAGAATACTTTACAATATTAAGGAATTTATTAAAAGAGTATTAAGATATACTATAAATATTTTCCTTAGAAATATCAAAACTTTTATAATATTACACACAAATCGATAATGTATCAAAATCGTACTTAGTTTTTTATTAATTTAATTTCACTAGTAATTAAAAAATATATAAGATAAAAAAATATAACGATATAATGCGTATTTAAAACTAATAGTTCTCATTTTGAATACTTGCTCCGAAACGTCGTCAAAATCTTTGAAAATTACAGAATAAAAGCTAAATATAATATTAGTCAGAATTTCATTGAATGAGTTTGCTGTACTAGTGAGTACATTTTGCCAAACAGTCTGACTACGTGGTTACAAATATAAGCAGAGTAATATGAGAATTATTAGATATATATAATTCATATAACATGACGGTATGACTTTGGACCTGCAAAAACATAGTTTGCTCTTTTTCAAAATAATAAACTATTTATGACGGGTAAGTACGTCAATAGTTGCAAAAATAAATAAAATCACGAAAATTACGTAATTTGTTTATCATCGGCTTCGATTTTTTGTTTCTTCAATTTTTACGTTGTGCTACGCATGTAAAAACTAATTACAAGTACAAAGCACTCGATGCTTGCGAAATTTTCTGCATGCACAAGACACAAACATGACGTACGTTATGATACATCACATTTTTCTATGCGCAGAAAAACTGTTTTGCATTATAACAGTCGTTAATTTTTTATTGAAAAGGCTACACATCTTTGTAAAAGAAATTACAATTATTTCCATGGTCTTGGGAAAATATGTCTTCTAGACAATACAGGGAATTTACAAGTTTCTTTTTTTACTAACGAACATCTTTTATAAGCAAAACGAAATAACAATGATATATTATATGATAATAGATTAGTCAGTGAATGAGACGAGTTTAATTATATTCTTGAGTGCTTAATGTCAAAAGAGCTTATTGTATATTGAAAAACGAGGACAAAAGATAAAGAATATTTTGTGATATGTATAATTTTATATTAATTAAAATGTGAGTCATTAAAAAAACAGATATTTTAAGAATTAATTCTACAGATTAAAATACAATATTAAAGTCTCCGATGATGTTTCTTCCATGCTTTATTTTTAACAATCTGATAATGATTTTAATATTAATATATGCGAATGAATAACATAAATATTTACCTCATTTACTTATTTTGTGCTTATAAAGCAAATTATCTTACCTAACACACACATTTCCGTAAAAATATAAGATTAGAGGTTGTTATATGTGACTATCGTCGAACAGCTGACAAGAACGTCAGAGTTAAATGACAGTCGACGAAAGAATCAATATGATTGTTTTGGACTCATTTTTGGACGTTCGATACTTAAATCACGTACCAGACTGAGACGTCAAATGAGCAAGCAATCAAATATATATGATATCGTGTCACCACTCATTCCCACACCAGGAACGAATTTTATATTTAGAATTACAAACGTGCCTGCACATCGGTTGTGTTTGGGCTTTTCCGCGCGTTACCAAAGCCAATAATAATTCACTTTTTAAATACGGCAAAATTGTGAACGATAAAATAGGATAATTATTCTACTAATTTCTTGAACTTTTACAAATGTTTCCAGTATGTTTCATTATTAAATATTTTTTAATCTTGAATACTGAGGTAGCAGTCGATTAAAGCTGTACGTGCAAATCTAACTAAATTGATAATTTTATAATCTCTGTTATGATTACTAGATAATTATTATTGTGATTATTTACAAGTGGAAAAAAAATGGTACTTCAAAAGGAGATATTACCTGTGAAGTTTATTATATATATATATATATATATATATATATATATATATATGTATAAATTTAAAATGATACTTCCTTGAATCACGTTATCTAATCAATATTATTAAAAAATAAAAAGTTATATTTTCAATCATTTCGCGCAATAGATATATGAAATCATTAGTTTCCGTTAATATCTTTTGTTATTCTTATTTATAATATATTTTTATTATTTAATGATGAAAACGACAAATATTTAAAGTCAAGAATAATCTAAATATTTTTCTAATTAATAAGTTTAAAAATATTTTAAATAATTTATCCGATTGTAGTCAATTATGCTGAAATTTTATATATATGCAAAATTTAATTTAAATGTTCGTGAATGAATATATGATTTAATAATAACTATTAAAAAATGACAACTTACAATGTTATTTTATCTAATTATTTCAACCACTTTTTATATTCGTAGAAATATAAAAAAAATTACGAGAGGAATCATAGTCAGTAATTTTGAAATATTCTGTACTTGCATAATTTACATTACTTACTGAGATAAGGTATGAATATGTTTGGTTCTTTAGACGTGATAAGTTATCGATTTCTCAATGTCATTCTGGTATGATAAATTGAAAATACGTTTCGGTATGTACGCATTTATCGCCACAGATTGATAATAATTACCGACATGTTTGGTTTCCAGATAGAAAAAAAAAGAATTTCTTAATATGTAAAATATATGTAAAATATTTTTTTCTTCCTTTTTCTCCTACATACACGTACGCATACGCGCACATAAAAAATTTTATATAAAATATCATTTAATATTTATAAATTTTTATTGTATTTCTATTTATCTTATATAAATGAGTATTATATATATAATTGTATAACATGTATGATTACACGTGTATGACTACACGCGTAAGCATAGATGTACAACTATATATAATAGACATGTGTATTGTAGACACGTGTATATTGTATAGTGATACAACATGTGTACGATTACATATGTTGATAATATCTTATATGTTGATAATACTTTAATTTGATATAGTTAATTAGAATAATTAACTATACGTGAAAGTTGCATATTTTAATGAAGAATATTATGAATATATTGTAAATCAGGATATGACACTTATGTATCATAAACAGAAATTCTAGATGCACTATTTATATTCGCATATGAGTAATTCATTAACTTTTAATATTTTAATATTTTAATTTGTTTCCCTCTCTTTTTTTCTCGGAAATGATATTGATTCTTTCATTACCTACGTTCATAGAATTATATTCCAGGATAGTTTAGAATTATAAGAACCCGATGTTATATGAAACAATATCGTTTGTAACATGAGAATAGTGTCGCAAATAAAAGGACGGATGTTGTAATAAAAGTGAAACGTACATTGATGAGAGTTAATAATTGCGCCTGTATTTTCAAGTTTCCATAACTCAAGAAAAATTTAAACTACAAAAAATGCAAAGTAGGATATTATTCATCTTTTTTACGCATTAATAATTTATCTCAAAAACATGCATATATAAAAAATAAAATTTTAAAAATTTAATTTCACAAATTGCATTTATATTTATTTATTATATTGTTTAACCACGTTCTCTCAAAGCGTATTGGTAACAATGACAGTACAATATAAATTTACACTTTTTCTCTCATCTTAAACATGCGAAATTCGCTTTTGTTATTAGATATAAGAAATAACAATTAAGGCATAGATACAATATAAGCAGAATAATGTTGATTGCGATACTGCAGACGATGACCTCAATATCCAAGTAATTATTTTCCTTTCACTTTTCATTTACTTCGAATTTCATTATAAACCGGCTTCTAACGTAACGTGAAAGATTCACCAGTGCTCCTCTCCTCTATGTTATCTATGCAATATATGCGTCCTATGCATACATGTATTTTTTACAGATAAAGATATTTAAAAATCAGAGAATAAAAAAACATAAATTGCAAGTTGATTTTTGTCTATTATCATCAACATCCGCTAATATTGATTGTAATATAGCAAATAAAATAATATAAATATACAAGATCTTTTAAAAAACAATTATATTATTTAATTAAATAAAATTATTCAAATAATCGTGCCAATTATATTGCAACGCAGTAGATAATTCAACAAAAAAATTGCTAATATTATTCATAAACAAATTTCTAAATATAATATTTAGAAACTTTATTGAGAAATAATGTATTTCGCGTGATGAGGTAATGTATATATTTTCTTCTAGTATAATATAATATATATCTTCTAATTTAGTCTTCATTAAAAATATATTCTTATTAAATTATTCAAATTTTAAATTATTTAAATTTTAACTTATTTTTTAGTTTAGTAATAATATAAGATACATTTTTTAAATAATATTTAATTTTTAACTTTTTGTGATTGCATTTGTTGTCTAATTAAAACTTTATTATTTCAAAAGCTTAATTTCTCTGACCTTAATTTCTCTATCTATAATATATAAACTTTAGCTACTGCGTGAATCTAAAAAGAGTTACACAACATTATTTCGGCTATGATTAAGATTTTAATCTGTCTGTTACAATTTTTTATTTAATCTCTCTCATTGTCAGTATTTTTTTTAATTATATAACAAGATCGATATAATATCGCTCTTGTACAATCGAAAGCTTAATGTTTATCTTATATTTCATTATGCATTATATATTCTATTATGCATATATGTTTCCCCATATATTTTTAAATTAATTTCGCCGACTTTGTCATTTAATTGTATTCGGATAAGCCGCTTTAGCTTTGCACAACGTGGAAATAAGTGCTTAAAAAGCATGCAAAAATGTAGAAGAAGATACGAATTATATAAGCGGACGTCACAATACCCCTTTGACATCAAATGTAAATTTACCTTGACGCTCTTCTGCATTAGGAACCATGGTGGATGCGTCAGCGTTCGAAGGTGTTCCTATGTTAGACGTCTGCTTCCCGACAAGATCGCTCCTTCTCTCCTGCAGGACACCGGCTTGCAGGGCTAGTTTTCTGATTGCGAGACAATAACCCAGTAACGGAGCCGCCAACAGATCAAAACATGCGGCGACCCAGGGCATAACCGGGAAACCCGTATGACGGAGAGCAATCGATCGTTTGGATATATTGGCTTTTCTCCCTCTTTCTTTTGATGACAATTATAGTTGATTAAGAATAATCGCGAGGATCCTCGGAATAAAAGGAAGCCCGACACGGCCAGTCGTTCAAAAGGTCAACGAGCAAGAGCCACCTCTACTCTATCGCGCGAATATTTCTCTATTCGCGAATTATAGCGCCAGTCTGACTGGTGTTTCTGTTTCTACTTCCTGATTTCAAGCTCCCGGCTAAAGCTCTTCCGAGAAGTGGTCGCTGCTCGTGTGCCGTATTATAGATAGCAGGTCCTCCCTCATTCCAATTTGCTTGATCCTCACCTCTGGAGCCAGTTTGCGAGCTTCCTTGGAATCGGTCAGGTAAAGGCCCAGGTCTTTAGACCGCGGCGTGCCGCGTAATTTTTCCCGCTTACTTGCGTCCGTTCCTCCCGCTGCTGTTATCAACGATGATGTTGTTGTCTCTGCTGATGTCGTTGCTTGTTGTCGACAGTGCGCGCGCGCAGCCAAGTACACCTGCTGATAATTTACATAGTAACAGTGACCCCTCGCTCCGATCTCACCGATCGCTCCGAGTTTCACGATTCTGCGGCCTTCGTGATTTTGAATCGAGATCACTGTAGCCGATTGCTCCGATTCTCTCCGTGCTTTGTGCTCCGATTTTCTCTTCCCCTTCGAGTTCCTCCCACGTACGACGCGCTATATAGATATTCGGCCAGCTGGTACTAGAGAGAAATTTCGATTAATACTTCTCGATATATACTTCTTGTATACTTATTTTCGTTTCTTCAACTTTAGTTCGACAGAAGTGTGCTTCCGTTTCAGAAAATAACTCTCTATCGCTATCGCAGAACGCAGTGCTTAACCAGACAAGAATAAACTCCGCTTGTTGTGCGAACGGTCGATACTGTACTTGTCTGCTCTCCAACGACTAGTAGGTCTGGTTCCGTCGCGGCTTTTAGCAGCATCGACCAGAATCAGAGGCGAACCATTCTACCAATGAAAGACTGGCTGGCCCCTCTACCATGATATCGGACAAACTTGCGCGCCATGAACGAATATTCGTTTTTCCTTGTAATTGTGATTTGATGTGCCTGTTTGTCGCAAAAATCGGGAATAATGAAAATTTATTTGTTTCTACTTTCCATAAAATCATAAACAATGAGATCTCGTTTTTTTTTTACACTTACAGTTCCGCTTATACCGCATGATATCACCGTTTGCTCTGTTATGAGTCTACCTGCTTTATATAATTTAATTTAAATTCGGAAATCTTCAAAGATTTAACTAGTCTCGTATTCTTAGCCTTATTTAAATCTGTAACACGATCTTGATAATTTACACCAATTTGGAGATAGTGTAATACATATCTGATTAGAATCATAAATTACATGTGTTACGCATGTGAAACCAGCTCGCATTTTTCTCAGCGCATCGCGTGTTCAAAGTCCACGGTTGTTTTTCCTATTTTCACGTAATCGTTTGGCAAACGATCATACAGACGCATATATGTTCGCCGTCATTGGCGGAGTTAAATGAGAAGTCGCGCTCAGATCATTAATGTCTTGACCTGTTGGGTGAGATCACGTGTACGCCAATGTGGAGCAACTTCTTCTTATAGGCTAAATGTGAACTTTGGAACCTGTTTCGGTATCGTGTCGAAATAACTTAAAAAAAATGACTCTAACACTAAGGAAATGTTGTATCTCATGAATTAATATTAAGAAATTTAAATGATGCATATCTATATATGCGTAAGCATAAAAGCACGTATTATTTTCGTGATAAGCTTACGAAATAATCAATCGAAAATTATTACGATGATCTCTTATATGCGTCTGTTGCAAAATACTTCCCATTCCAAAAGAGCTAACAAAAAGAACCTAGAAAATTAAATGAATAAAATAGAAGAAAAATATTTTCGTTTTCTTTTTAATAATTATTAATTATAGTAAATTCATATTAGATATACAAATTATATATATTTTTATCGCGCGTGCGTGCATGCAAGTGCGTGTGTAATAAATAAATAAATATATATATATATATATATATATATATATATATATTTAATTTATAGGAAATTTATATTTATATATATTTTATTTTATAGAAAATATATATATGTATATTTATTTATTTATTACTCACACGCGCACGATAAAAATACTTTTCCCTTATTTTATTTACTTAAATATTATTATTAAATATATATAAATCTCTTCCTTATAAATTTTTATAAAACTTATATAAAATCTAACATGCACAGCTCTTCTCTTCAGGAGACCTAAAAATATTCATAAAAACAACGGATCTATATATTGTGTTTTCAATAACAAGACAAACGTACATGTAATTACGCCATAAAAGAGATGAGATTTTTTTCTATTACATTTATACGTAAGTAAACGTCAGAAGCTTAAGTTTTTAGATGATAAGAGGGGAAAGTACGTTAAATGTGTATCACCCGTTACACGTGATAAATGCTACTCTGATGCGTGATAAAGGTCATGCATGATCTAAAATGATAGATTGACTGCAGTCGCAATGAACTTCAATAAATTCGTAAGCGCATATTAATCATTAACATATCCGCGTAAATTCGCAAAATTTAATTTTTTATGAAAATAATATTTAATTGCGGAAAAAAATGACTCCTAATTTGTCACTAAAATACTTTCTAAAGGAAAAAACAATAATACGTTGCGATCATTGAGACAATGGGATGCAGAGTGAACATCACGCATGGGAAATCACAATCTTATTTGCTTTTTATACAAATACTCTGACGTGTTCACGAGAGTTTATTGATATGACTGTGCATTATTAGATAATGGTCCATTCTAACATTTAACGAAGCTCTATCGAGTTAACTGAAAAGATAATCGCCAGGTCCGTACACGTATTCTGCACTTAAGTGGATTCTTGAATTACATTTAAGCAAAATTTCCTCTTTTTATGAATCATTTTTAAGATTAGAAAAACCTAATTGTAAACAATTAGTAAATGCGTTATTAAAATAAGAAAAATTTATACATTTCCTGCATATCTACGGTGAATTTTACAGTTAACAATTTCCATGAAACGATAATTTCATATGTAATTTAGTCATACGAATCAATTAATGTGTTATATAAACTAAAGCAATTTCTGTTTCTATAATTTAGATCTTTGTATTATTTAATAAAATAAATAAAATATGAATAGTAAAATATTCATTAATCATACGATATCATATAATCATTAAACAGATACGTAAATTTTAATTTTTCTGGATTTAAAGAAAAAAGACATTTAAAAAAAATTATTAAAAAATCATAAAAATGATTGCTTTTATATTCATACTTTCTCTTTGATTAATTTATATTTGTATTTAATTATTTATAATACAAATCCGATATGCAATATTTACTGAAATAAAATAATTTAGTGCCTTTCTTTCAAGACACGGGACATTAAAGAGATGAAAAGTAGCTTATCCCTTTTAGTTTTGGCACAGCCTCGTATTCAAAGCAACCAAGGCGAGCTCTATTTTAAAACGATTGTCACCACGAATATCCTCGTACAGGCCTGCGGTCACTGTCGTCCATTAACCGCAATAGAATCGTATCTCTAGACTTTAGAAAGGATAAAGTGAGATGTTAAAAATCATCCGGCCATTGTTCTCTAAAAGAATATTTTTGAGAATATATAAATTATAAAATAAATATATTATAGAATTAAAAATAATAAAATATAATAAATAATAAAATAAAAAATAAAATAAAATAATAAAATAATAAAATAATAAATAATAAAATAAAATAAAATAAATAAATTATAGAATTGCTCTCCCTCTGTAAATAATAATCGCTATATTAATAAGAGCAATGCGAAAATAATTAAAAATAACTCTGCGATTTGTTTTCGATCAAGAGTTAGAAATATATATATATATATATATATATATATATATATATATATACATATATATAAAAGTATATATAAAAATGCGTCATTTATATAAATGTAATTTAAACATTAAGAAAATTATACCATAACGAAAAAAAATTATATTCGACGTGAAATGCACTCTTCTTTCATAAATTTCACTTCAATTAATTTTTATGATTCTTTTTTTATATATATTAAATGATCAAATTTGTATACAATGAAATAAAATAATGACAATAATAAAAATAACATACATAAAAGCATTTATTAATATACAATATTGTTTTTTTATTGAAAAATATGGAATAAAAGACATATTCAACGCAACTATACATCCAGAGAATATATATATATAAATATATGTACTGCTTAGAAAATGCCAATCGAATGTGCAAGACCTGCATAAATATGTAATGTAGTTGCGCCCATGAAAAAGGTAGTGACAGCTTTAATAATTAGTGTCGACCATGGGCCAGCTAATAAAAATGATGTAAGAAAGTCTAATATAAGTGGTCTGTACACTGTAAGCACAAGCATACCAATTACTACAGGAACTAAACCACGCCGTAAATCGTGTCTAGACCACAACCAAACCAATGTTGCAGTTGTTATATGTTGTACCTGTTAAAAACATATTACATAAGTCTAAGAATTTTTTAATATTTTTTTATGATTAAAAAAATTGAAAAAAATAAATTTAATATTAAATAAAAACTACTTCAATTCCTTATCGATAAATAAAAAGTAAATTTTTACCAAATTAATATTTGATTCAAGACTTTTTTGGATATATTTCCAATCAAACTCAGCACCCCGAGCTCCAACCCAAAGTAACAAAAATCTTGTGAGCAACACTTCTGCTCCTGCCCATCCTATACCAGCAGTTAATACTTTAGCATGACCTTTACCAGGAATACCATTTAATACCAACAATATTCCTGCCAAATCCGCCAGATCAATAGATGATTTCAAAAATTCCTAAAAACATTTTTTTAATTAATTAATTAAAAAATGTAAGATCTTATCAAGATAATACAGAAAAAAATATCAAATATCTATATCTAAATGTAAATCTAATCTAAAGTCTTTTTTAATTAAAGTTAATCTAGATTGTTGAAAATCTTTAAAGCAAAATTGAAGAAAATAACACAAGAAAAATAACTTAGATATATTATAATTTTATCTTCATTCATAATTATTTTAATTAATATAATATTTATAGTAAAGATTATTTATCAGTTGAGTGGTCTATATATTCATGAAATCATAAAAATTAATTTAAAAATCTATGGAATTAAAACATAATCTAAAAAATTAAAAAATTACAGATTTATAGTATAATATTTATCTTTTTTTCCTACATATGAAGTTATAATGTGTAATAGATTTGAGCGTTTTTGAATTCAAGGGACAAAATTTGTTAGGAAAATTGATAACGCATACCCCAAAGACATCAAAACCCTCTTCTCCAACATTGTCAGCGGTTGGAAAAAATGTGGCAAGCGCCAGCATCTTTACGAGTTGTGTGAAGATGTAAATACCACCTGCTTGAATGCATTTCCAGAAGGCACCGTATTCTGATCTGAAAATATCTTTCTTTATTACTTTGCACATTGTGAAATTTAGGTTAGAAAATATCAGAAATCTTTCTTGGATACTTGCAAGCCAGAATACTTATAAGTCAAGTAGTACGGCACGTATACCAACGCCAAACAATTCCCAAAGTGATATAATGTCATTTTTCAGTGACGTTTAAGTCAATTTAAAACATTATTGAAAAAATGTACAATTCATAATAAAATTGCGAACATCATAACAGAGAGAAGACTGAGAGGTATCATTGCCCACTTTTAAATGATTCCTGAAAGCGATACGCCCTCTAAACATTAAAAACGTGGACATGAACTACAAAGTCAGTGTCGATAAATGTTCTCAGAGGATAACATATGTGCACAATTTCTGGTTTTGTTCCGTGCTATATGCACGAAATGCCGGTAGCATCAATGTTGTACAGCAAGACGCTTATGTATATAAATATAAATTAATTAATTTTTAAATTTTTAAAATTTTTTTTAAATTTTTCAATAAGTTTTGTATGTGGCTCTCGTGAGGCTGCAACTTTGTTCTGAAATATCTGCATTATTTTTAGAAATGTATATATATGCCAATCACAAAAGCGATCCGGAATGCAATCGATTAATTAATTTATATTTTATTCTCATAAAAATAATAACTATTCAATTTAAAATATTATATGAGACATACGCTTGATTACATACATATTCTATGTATATATAGAAATACCGTCTCAGAAATACCGTCTTTCAAAAAATATTACATATATTAGCATTAAAAAATATAATATATATTTAATTTATTGATTCATATCTATTCTATATCGCATTACAAGATAAATAAGAAGTTGAAATTTGACTTTAATCGGGAAAGATACTGTAATTTTTCAATGTAATGATTCAAAGATAAAATAAATATTTTTCTATATATTCATTGTCATATTTATATTTTTATTTGCAAAAAACAAAATGCTTGCTATAGGGTAAAAATATTTTTAACCGTATTTTTATAAATCTTTAATTCAAAACTGTTCATATAACCAAGGCCTTACTACGTAAAGAAAGAATTTGATAATATACATATGAAACGTCTCATATCATTTCTTTACTGTTCAAAGTTACTGTGCAAATGACTATAAAACATTACCTCGATATTGTTAATATCGCCAAGATTGACTTATATTAATGTTAGTGTTATAACTTATCGTTGAAATATTCTATAAATGATTGCCGATGAAAAAAATTTAAAACATTGATCGAAATTTATTTGGCAGTAATTTAACGACACTTTATTTGAAAGCATACTATTCGAATCATAAAATTCATTAAATACACAATATATTACGTAAGTATAAGAGAAAATAATTTGATATGAATAATACTTATTTGTCTTTTTTATATGTTAAATAATACGTAAGATTATATCGCGACGATACATTTTAATCATCTCGCGTACTTCGCGCATAGAATTTAATCAAGAACCATAGCGAAAGAAATTTAAAATAATAAATTATTGTTTCGTTATGATTTTTAAGGATAATAATTATTGTTTCAATATAATATGTTTTAATAATATTTGGAATTAAATGTTTTCATCCGTGTTACTTCATTATTCTACTTAACAATCTAAATATAATTCAGATTGTGAAAAAAACCATAAACGTATAATATATATATTATATGTATCAGTAATTTTTGAAAGCGATATGCTTTCTGGACATTAAAAAGAAGATAACATATATGTTATCCTCTGAGAACATTCGTTGATATTGACTTTGTAGTTCATGTCCAAGTTTTCAATGTCCATAGAGGGATTTGTATCACAAGTCTTTCTCCTAAACTCTGTAGGTAAAGCTAATCGATTCTAACCTACAAGTGTATGATAAAAAGATCTCTTTTCTCAGCAGTGATAAACATATCAAATACATTTTGTCAAGAAAAAATATAAATTACATTTCTCAAGAGTAAGACTAATACATTATTTAGTCGTTCTTACTTGATATTTTATGAAAAAGGAAATCATTTATTCTGTTAAGTTACAGAAAGTGACAAGAAAGTATACAAATTTCTCTTTATAGTTTTAACAATATTTAAATAATCATAATTAAATGTATCATTAATTACAATATTAATTGGTCATGACACAAATCTCTGTATTTTAAATAAAACTACATTTTAATAACAAAATATAATAAATAGTTTTTCAAAATTTGAAAATAGAATAAATGTGTCAAAATTTTACAATTATAAAAAAAAACTTGGTGAATGTGGCATATATCTGATTGCCCTTTTTCAGTTTGCTATTTAATCCCTTGCAGCAAGAGATTTTCTGATACCACACACAGTCCCCTCTTTTATATTTTAACCCCTTTGAAAGGGGTATAGTCACCCCTTTCCCCATAAAAAAGGGTAGCTGCTAAAAAAGGGTGTTGCAGCAGCAAAAGTATAGACTAAAATCTTGAATAGTTTGTGACATATATATATAAAAATCTTTGTATTTTCTATTTAAGTAAGGTATACATATATGACATATAAGTATTTTTATATTAAACAAGTTAAAACTCATCAGTAATATTAATAAATTAATTATTAACAAGGCAGTTATTAATCTTTGCTGCATAAGATCAGATTGGTCAATTTTTTCTCCTTTTTTTAGTCAAAATTGATGGGGGTACTACGCATGGGTCATGGGATTTAGACTGCTCCGTCAGAGCATGCTCCGTGTCCCAGAGACTGCTGCTTGCTATCCCTCTCCAACGTTCCTTGCGGAGGATAAACTCCTGGGGGTTGGTTGAGAGCTGCCTCTGATTGGACAGGATCGTATTGAATCTACCACGCAGGCTACTACTCTGCATGGAAAAGGAAGCTCAGTTTGCCACAGGCTGTCGTTGAATTTGTTTGGCAGTGTACTCCCCAACAAACAGTTATCAGGGTGTCAGAATTATTTCACTCAGTGATGGTTTTGAATGTATGTATTCCAAGTGTACCATATTATCAAAAATAGTCTGATATATATTTACAATTTATAAAGTACTGAAAAAGCAATATTTGGTTGCATTTTACTATTTATATATACTTATAGTCATTTATATTACATGTAGTTATATTCATATAATTTTTATAAATTACTTTTAGTTGCTTAAAAGTAGAAAATTTATATGTTTATATCATAATCCATATAATTAAATATTTAACTGCAAATGCTTATATGGTTTACATATTTCAGTAAAGATTTCTATTTTATTTTTATAAATTGGATATTCTTAAATATATTTTGACAAATATTATTAAATATTATTGTTATATCTATTAAAAAAAAATTACAATATAAATGTATAATAGAATTATTAATTATTCTCTCTATTCAGTTGATATTGGAATAAGCACAATAATAGGTACTAATAATTTGAAAAGAAATTTTATCCCTTTCTATTCTTACAACCCTTTTACCCCTTTTAATTCTCTAGATAAAAAAAGATCCACCCTTTTCACTGTTCAACCCTAAAAAAAAGTGTTGGAGTATTGGAGTATTGGATGTATTGAAGTTTTAATGTTACACAGCAAGAGTGTTATTAAAAATGAATTATAATTTAAAATATTTTATATAAATAATTTTTCGTATCTAAATAAGAAATATTTTTTTCAATAAAAATAATATATAATTTAAGCAAATTAATGGAATAACAAAACTTCTAAAACTATTTAAATAATGAATTAAATTAGATATAATATGTATATATAAAAAATCGTATCTTTTCATTTTTGTGGAAGTGAGAAATGGGTGGAGCTTACATTCCCTAGTGTTTTCCATACAAGACTCAGGAAAAAGGATAGTCAGTTTTATGGTGGAACTCAAGAGTGAAAGAATGTATACTGTGACTAGTCTTTCAATCGGTTAAACAAATGTTTTTCAATTATTTTCTATTATTGATTTTGTTACTTTACTTTAATTGATTTTTTTATATTATAAATTGAATATATTATACTTTAATTTTTGTGAAATGTAATATTATTTATGTATATGTACACATTTTAAAGTGTATACGATCATAAGGTGAGTTATTTTATTTTAAGCTATCTTCTTAAAGAATATTAAATATATGTTTAAAATATATATTATATATGTTTAAAAAATCAAATTTTATAAATAAATATATTAATTATGGCAGAAACAAAACTATTAAGTTTATTTCATGATACGATATAAATGCATAATATTGTTTTATTTTTATTTGGATATTGAACAAAAATATAATAATGTTCTTTGTAGCAATTTTTACATTTTTTATAGTTTCATGTACATTATATGTATAAACAAAAATTTTTATCAAATTCCTCTAGAAATATTTCAGTATAAAATCAATTTTAGAATTTTATTATTAAGGTGTATTTTTGTAATAAAAATAAATATGGTGTATTTTCATTCATTTTTATTTGAACAATTAATTTTTAAAATACGTGTAAGTGAAGTAATTCGAATGATGTTCGTATGATGGCGCTAAAGCTGATTTCCTACAACACATTTATCTCAGCAGCTGTAATTATAGTATGTCATTATTACAACAGATGACACGACTAACTTTATAGTGTCCTTACTAGTGTTTTCTATTTTCTAGGGACAGTATATAATACAAAGTATAATTTTATATTGTGTAAAAGAAGAGTGTGCGTTAATTTGTGATGAATAGGTTCGTAAAATATTAACGATATATAACATATTTGTGTATTCAAAGTAATCAATTTGTTATCGTATATTTTACGTTATTTATAACTTAGATTTTAATATTTCTATGAATGATAATTTCAAATATTTTAATCTCATTGGCCATCTTTTCTCATAATAAAAAAATAACGAAAATTTTCAGTAAAATAATAAATAATAATACACAATATTAGATAAGAAATACTATTGTTTTTAATATATTATTATATGTTTGTTATTTATTTATTCATATTTAATGTGCACTACAGAATTATACTGACCTACTTATCACTAATTCTTTAAATCTTGTTTTGTATAATGTTTTATATAACTAATTCTTTCCTTTCGATCTCTCAAAGAAATCATTTTTCCCCGTATTTCACCAATCGTGTGCAAACGGCTCGTTTGTCGGAACTTAAAGCTCCCGATGCTTCTCTTGGATTTATTTTGGATTTAGCTACGAGGGCCTGGAATCCTGAGAATGATGACACGGACATCTCTCTTTCTCTTTCTCTCAGCTCCGAATTTTGCGCTTTTGTCATCTCCCTCTTCCTGATGGACCGCACTTTCGATGAGGGCGTGTTTGCATTTCCCTCCCTGGGGATGCTTACGGGACGGCGCGCAATTTCGGAAAGCCGATTTCAATTCCGTTTTCCTTTTTACAGGGAGAAACGAGAGCTCGAGTGCGGGCCGCGCGGGATTACGGGAATCGCACAGACAGGCCTGCGAACACGTGCGAAAATGCTCTCGTGCCTCGACGTTTGCGCCCTCGCCATCGATCGTTCTTCCGCTTAACGCGCTTCCCGTCGTCGGAAAAATCCGATCTCTTCATTCCTCCCCACATCCCCGGTAAGTAACATTTAAGAAAAGTGTCAATATTAAGATCAGCGGCAATATTTTCTACACATCTTTCAGAAATTTGAATAAAAAAGTCGTCATAAAGCGCCCAATATTATTTTACATGCAATCATACATTGTTTGTATCAAATTGATTATACATCGAACTCTAAAACAGATCGTTCTCCCTTCATTGTTTTTTCGTTATGTAAAATTAGATTATGTTAAACAAGTATAAATTATCATTAGAAAAGAATCGTCGCGGAAGCTGCGTTGTTCGTACATTGATCGTAAGCGATCGTCGGTCCTGGTCAGACACTTCTTCCATTGATGTCAGGGTAGTGTATAACGATGAGCTTCATTTCCGGTTCCGGTCTTCATGATTTTCGCACCGTCAACTCCATTCTTCCTCCGGTACTCCACCTTCGTATATTAGCTCTGTCTTCTCCCTTGCACAAATCGAAGATTTTCGTTCTTCTTTATGTCGATTCTTAATTTTCGATCTTTTAAGGGTCGCTCGATTTTGTCGTTTCTTACGCGAAAAGCTTTTCACAAATATCGTTCGTTCACATATGCACTTTTATGATACAAGAAAGATATTGAAAAGACATATTAAAATGAATATATCTCGTCATGAAAATTGAAAAGAGAAATAATATAATATACAAAAATTGATAGAAGTTTTCTGATGATTAAAAGAAAATAGAAAATTCAAGAAAAATTTTTTATTTTTTGTCTTCTCTCTTTTCCACTTTTCTTTTTTGCTTTCTCTTTTTCTATTTTATAGACATTGGCATGTTCTTAAGTTTTATCAACGCCGCGGGACATGAAAAACGTTCGAAATCATGTTTTCCATCTCCGTGTGCAACGCATAAACACATTTTTATATGACAGAGAGGTTGATGTATCTTTCCCATTCGAAGCAGTATACAGGAAAGAATAACGTCCTTTGTTCAGGATTCTCGGCGAAGTTGTTGATATTCCATCGGCGCCTCTGTCCTTCTGGGACACAGCCCCTTCTATCATCCGACTTACATCTTCTTTCACTGTGTTTTTCGGTTTTGTAATACTAAAAGAGTATCAATACGAAGAATGCTCGATTGCGTTATAAGAGTTTAATAAGACATCGGTTAAATCGAAAATCTTTAAGCGATTTTCTTCGGAGATTCACAATGCGGAAAAGATGCTCAAAGGACATCTGAAGAGTATCTACAAAGTTACAATATCTGTTAGATATATCTGTTAGATTTTTAAAAATTTTTTGTGTTGTTCGATTTTTTCTTTCAACTCGGCTAAAAAACTTGCTCTTGTTACTAATAAACAATTTATTGTCTTTGTCTTCAAAGATAAAATTTAGATTTGCAAAAATCACAAATGTATATATTAGCTCCTATTTTTTAATTATATAAAATTATATAAAATTCAAATATTTATATGTCTGTAATACTTTATCATAATATAATATAATATAATATCATCGAAAAGATACGATAATTACATTCGCTAGATATCGATATCAAATAGTATATCGGAATTGCATAAGAGAATTGTGATGTCTATTTAATAGTAATGAAGTCGGGAGATAAAGAGAGAGAGAGAGAGGGCGGTTTCAAAGCTGTAAAGACGCTTAATGAAGTAGACATCGTAGCGCAGCGCAATTTCCAACTGAGTTCTCTGATTGGTCATTAAACCGCGATTTGCATATTTGAAGCAGAAAAAAAAAACGGCCGGATGAAAAAATTTTTAACGAGCATTCCTTTATCATTTAATATTTAAAACGATGTTGTGCGGAAGTGACTGTAATTGAAGAGATATAATTGGCGGATGTACAAAGGTGAATAAGGCTCCTCGCAGTTGCACCGTCGTCGATATTTCTGCGCTTTCAATTAATCATTAATCTTCGTGCGGCATTGATACCTTCTCTACATTTTAAAAGGGGGAACTTATCATCCGTGTTCAAGAAACGTTTTATTGTACAGGTTGTTTGGTTTTAGATTTTATACAATATAGATGCGATATATATAAACAAAATGAAATTAAAATTCACACAAATTCTTATAACAATATAAATTTAATAGAGAGTGTATACTTCAAAATTTAATTATGTAAACGTTCTATATAATATATATAATTAAAAATCAAGAAAGATTGTTATATATAAATTATGTCTGAAGCAAAATTATCATTGATACATAGCTTTATATATGATGATGACGGAAAATATTTTTCATATATTACTTTTTCTTTTAAATGCAAATTGAGATTTTATTAATGATGAAACTTTCATTAACATTGTTATTTAATCATTTAGTCCTTCAACGATGTAAATAAAATGCGAAGCGAAGCATCTCGTATTCCTTTCGCAGCGCAATATTGCAATAGAATATCGGTCGGGCCATAAAATATCATTGAAGAATGCTTTTAACATT